AAGAACTCAGGGTAGTAACTTTAAGCTCTGATACCGCTACACTTCCATTTTTCTGAGTATTTACAAAAGTTGAGAGACTGACTTCTAAATATTTATGCCAATCCGGTCTCCAGGAAAACCTGGTCCTTTTTATTGTTCTATTCTGACACCTGTTCTCTGGCTGCTAGAGCAAATCTATAACCATTGCTATCTCTGAAGTGCCCATGAGTCCAAGACACCAGAAGCCTTGTCTATTCAGCTGCTGAGCCATATTTACAGAATATACGGCAAAATCTGTAATGCTGCCAGAACTTCAAGGAAGCAAATCTTTAAAAACCATACAGCATGCTGTATTACAACCAAACTAAGTACTATTACAACCAACTATTAAACTATAGGGTTTACTAAAATTCTAGGATCCCTATGAGAAATACTGCACTGCTTTGATAATGTTTGCATACTTAATATATACTGCCAACATTGCTTCCAGGATATATTGACGAATATATGCAAGGCCTCCCGACTTATGGCCGATGCACAGTGATGACTTCAGATTATAGCTACCTCTGTGCTAGAATGGATGTCTGGAATATTTGAACCCCAGCAGAAGCTGAAGTTCAGAGAGGGGCAATATGATCAAGTAAAGTCACAAGTTGCCAAGCGTATTTCCTCTTCCTCAACATACTTAAGTTGACTTATACTATATTGCTAGGCAGATCTCAGAAAGGTCAAGATGCAGCTGATCACTATTACCAGTGAAACTTTAGCAGTAAATTGAAAAGCAAATACACTATCAAGTCCCTCTAATTTGACAGCTAGCATCTTGATATCTATCTATCTAGTTGATAGATATCTATCTATCTAGTTGATACACAGCAAAAGATATTCTGCAGTCATGCAAAACACATCTCCAGAAACAGTGTCTTAATGCAGACCTTGTGCTTAAGGTTAACAGTGACATCATAGGGATGAATATTTTGCTATTAAAATAAAACCTTAATTATGGGGAAGAAATCAGCAAACTGTCAATCTAGGATCTCCCTGCCTCCTGCATTTTCTTTATTATCTGTACCTTCCTTTCAGCCTTAATGAATGAATACAGAATCATTCCTGAAGAACAATCCTTCCACAAGATCAGAGCTAACACTACATATAACTCTACAGTGATGAGATGCACCATATTCATATTCCCGTTCTGAAGCTGGTACCAAAGTTCACTGCATCATACCTATTTGCAGCACATCAGAAGTTTTGCCACAAATACCAGTCTTCACACATACTAGATGTTCTTTTGCTGGAATCTGGGCATAGTATTACACCAGATCATGCCATGGATAGCCTTTTTGACTCTGGCAGAATAGGCTTCTCTTCCTGAATGTGCAGCTCAGGACTGCTCAACCAGAACTTGCTCATCCTCACATATCCAAGCATGAGTAGGATGAACTCATCAGTTACTTGTCAGAAACCTGCCACTCCATTCCAAATTAAGAAAACATGCTGGCAGTCTACTAAGGACATAATACCAATAAGTGACCAGGGCTTAAACTAGGCTCTGTCACAAGCACATGGGCATAAGGCGTTTTATTTTGTTAAAAAGGGTAGCACTTCCATTTACTTTGTGGATGCCCAAACTGACTGTGGGTCTTTCTTGTCAAAACCTTCCTTTTCACTCTTCCTTAATTTCTCTGCCATCAGGCAATGAAGTTTCATCTTCAACGTCAGGCAAAAAGGGACTGAGGGGAGGTCATAACCACTCACCACTCATTACCTTGGGAGTGCACAATATTAAGCAAATATTTGCATTTTCTCATAAAAATTATTACGGCAAAATCTTTTTCACTGACATACTCAGACCAGGAGCATGGCTAGTAGTATCACTGGCAAGCATCATGCTGTTCTTTTTCCATTAGCCAGATAGTGCAATTAAAGCATTTACCATATTTACTGGAGGTGGAGTGAAAAGACAATTCAACACAGAAAATTCAGTAGTGTAAAGGAACTACAAAAAGTAACCAGAACATAAAAAGACATTTGTCCCTCAAAAGTTACTGAATTTTTATTGAATACAATTCCCAACTTTTAATTCCATATTTGACTAGTTTTTGAAAGCAGTCAAGAAACAGGTACTTGGATCTCTTTTGGCATCATCCAGTTATTCGCTATTGTAGTTAACTGGATATTACACCTTGTTCCAGTCAATACCTCTACCTAGAACAAAATGCTTCAGTAGGTTTATGAGTACCTCATGCCATGCAATACAATTTTGTGCTTTATAATCTGCACTGCCCAATTCCATGTTGATTTAACTCCACACTGAAACAAAAACACCTTATGGAATCTTAAGAGTCTGGGAACATACCCGAAGAGACTAGTCTCCTCTTCCAGGAAGTTACAATAAAGCCCAGCAATTACTTTCAAATTGCACTTTCAAACAAAGAAGCTGACTGTAAGACTTTACATACGAGGGCCCCATTACCATTAAAACATGAACTGACTGCTTGGCTGAAAATAGTAAGGAATATTATTCACCTTCACAGCATGATATGATGTTCATGTTCCATTTGGGGTGTGGGGAAAAAGGACCAGAATTTGACAACGGGAGATTCTGCTTGATGGGAAGATTTATGAAGATATATTTCTACTCTTCTACTTAATTAGCTACTGTTAACTTAGGTTTTTATATTTTATTACATCTAAGTACTACCACAAAGAGAATTGAAGATTTAGGATGGAATTAAGAACCATTTAATTTAATGAAAACATATTTGATTTCAGTAATTTTTCTGAGCAGAGGAAGCTATTAATTTGCTGTAGCAGCTTAGGGATGGTATCACATTAACTGCTGTTGTACCAGTTGAGGCTTTGAAGAGTATGATAAACTCTGCTTCTTATTAGTTTAACCCATTAAAAGAAAAAGCTTACAATGTCACTGCCGGAGAGTGATGATACAGAAGAGGCAGATGAGCCAGAGGATAACTGTTGTGTACTAGCCAATGACAAAGCCAAGCGTTGGTTGTAAGATGGTTCAGAGTCTCTGTTCTGTTGCTGTTCTCCATTGCACGGAGCTATCTGGTCTCTTATTTTCAACCTATTATCTGTTAACAGAAAACATAAGGATCACTTAAGGGCACAGAATACAAACACATGGGCCTTAAAGTCTAAGAAGAGCTGCAGTTTAACAAGCTAACTGAAAAACAGGCTCAGAAAAAACTAGTCTTGGGTTAGAAAGTTACAAATTCCTTTTATTTTTTCCTACATATCTGAAAAGTGATTAATTTCAAGGCATGAGTATTTTGAATTACATCAAATTCAAGAAAAAGTTTTAAGTTGGTTTCTAAGATTCCTGCTATACCTACCAAGTTCAGGTGATAAATTAATTTTGCTCCCCCACTTCTTTTTAATCCAGGCCCTGTAGTCAATCACTTCTTGGGTCACTTTGATGATTCTACCTAATGTGCTAAAAAAATTTTTCAATTAAGTATTAAACAAAGACGGTTGGTTACATATTTGCAAGCATTTCAACAAGCAATCAAATTATGCTAAAATTCAGTCTAAGATATCCCTAACCAAAGAATCATTTTGAATTTTCATTTCCTTAGCGCACCATTTAATCCACTGAAGCATCACAATTTTTAAATTAGTATATTACTTATCTTCTACCATACTAACATGCAAGCACTGACACATAGGTAAGATTTTTACTCTGTATTTCTAAATGGAGTGCATCTTAATTATCAAGAATGTACATGCAGATACCAGTGTACTTGACAAAAGTAATTTACAGGTTCTCACACTTCTCCACACAGAAAATATTTTTTCCACAGAATCTGGATTACAACAGTTATGGGATGCACTAAAGACATTAATATCCCAGCCCTGCAGCGGACCTTCAAGCTGAAGACAGAAACCTTCACTAGTCCTTGCTTACAGATTTACAAGACAACTTAAAAGGTGTAAGATCCCCACAATTATAAAGGAAGTACCATGGATCACGAGGTAGTGGAAACAAGAAACAGACTGGCTCCAAAACCAGAGTAAGTTAGAATTTAAGAAAATTCATAACAGTAAGTGGTTCAGTGCTGAACAGTGACCAGTTATCAAGAAGTATAAAGTAATATTTTTCCAACATACCTTCCCAACATTCAGCTATTTGAATTGCACTTCTTGAGCAGGAGCTGTGTCCTTGTTTGAGAGCTAAACTTTCAAGCTTTCCTTTCATCAGGGACTAGTGGCTGAAACACTAACTATAAACTCCATGCTCAAGATACATGAAGGACTGACTATTGTACAAAAATGGGCTATGAAAAGTTACCATCCTGGAGAAGGTAAAGTTATTTTAGTTTTGAAAATCTTCAATGATTACAATAAAGGTTATTTTGTATTTCACATCATAAAGGTACATTGTACCTGTACTGGAATTTTCTTTTGGTTTAGGTGTGTAATGGGAAGGGAAGACATACATAACCTAAATGTACTCAGACTACCTTTATTAGGTCATTTCATGGTGACACTTTAAAAAGGAGCAATAATTCTCCTACTGGCTTAGGGATTACTATTTCATGCAAGACCGAATACCACATGTTCCATGTTCGGTCTTCCAACTTTAAAGACATGTCAATGTGTTAGTACTGAAAAAGGCAGTCCAGCATTTTAAGCAAACATTGAACCAAATAATATCATCTAAGTTAACAAGTCCAAGAGTTGCAGAAGGGCCTCACGGACAGAATGAATGTCATCCACCATTCTGTTTATTAATGTAGATAAAATGATGCATGTTGGAAAATAAAATCTTGAATTTTACATGTAGAATTAAAGGCGTGATTGTCACCACCCAGCAACTAAAAATCTGGGTTATCATAGGTAATTCTTTGAAAACCACAGTTCAATTGCTAAGTAGAGCACATTAAGAAAGGAACAAATAAAACAGAGAATAGTATTTTGTCAATGTACACTCCCATGACATAACAGCATCTTAAATACTTGATGCAGCTCTGGTTTCTCAATCTCAAAAAGGAAGTTAAGCCAGAGGAGACAGAATGAAGACAGAGATGACCAATACTGCAGAGAATCAGCTGTGGCCCTGAAGTTGCAGTTCCCAAAAGAGTAATGCCAATATGGGACTCAAACAAACACATACTGGGTCTCCTCAGCACTGGGACAGAGAAGGAAATCTTGCAGCTAAAAAGCTTCATCTGAGAATGCCTTCAGAAAGATTTGAGCTTTTACTCCAGAATAACCTATACATTTCACAACCGCTGCCACCTGTGGTCTTAGAACCAGAAAATGAACATGGACTAAATAACACAAGCTCTTATGAAGGAGTTTGTCAAGTCTGAAACTTCTTGGAGTACTTTCCCAGAAGCAAATCAATAGTCATGCCTTCATATACCAGAATGAAAATGAATGATTATAGGATGGTATTTTTATCAGCCTGGGTGACTGATATACTAAAAATGCCTGCTATCAAATAGATGTAATGGGTGAAACTACTGCTACACCAACAATTATGGCAGAGTTGCACATACAGAACCTGGCAATCTCTTCTCTCACTAGCTCCTTTCACAGAGAATAGAGATCAAAGCCCCAAACTTTCATTTTTGGTAGAAAGGTAGAAAAAAAAGAAATTCACTAAGTTATCAGGTCAGGAGTTCAAAGGCAGATCCATGCTACATTGCTCAGACACCAAAATTAAAAACATTCATTATGAGACATCAGAAACTGAAAGGTGATGAAGGCTATACTGCCATATACTTAATACAGCAGCAAAGAAAGAGGAAGCAAGCGTAATCAAACTAGATACTGCTCTCAAAGAACACCATTCACATATATGGGACTCAAGCACATCCACGAGGTCAGAGAAAAGTTTTTTAAAATAAACATTTAAAAGTTGTGCTTATATCCGTTTTCAGCACTGAAAATGCTTAGGAGCAAAAAAACTATTAATCTGCCCCACGTTTACTATGAGGAAATTCCATGCTTTTGGGGGTTTTTTTGGCCGAGGCCAGAATTTCTACAGATATATGAGACACTCCCACAATTCTTCAAAGATGCTTGTTTGGAAAACGTGGAAAACTAACAGTTAACTGGTTAATAAAATTAGACAGCTCTCCTATGAAAGATGCCCCTTTAAGGTTTTTCCCTTAATATTATCATATAGTAAAACCAGGAATAAACTATTTACATACCTAGTTTATTTTACGGTAAGAGCTTAGAAGCTCCTCTTTTTATACACTGCAAGCCCTCAGTTCACAGGGACACTTTCTAGCTGTCGTTACAGCACAACTACAGTGCAAATAAATCTTAAGATCACTCTTAAAAAGCTCAAATTGCTGACATAAGATTCATTAAATCAAATATCTCCAACCAAGCTCCGCATGAACAAGTGAGTATCAGAGCAGGAAAAAACATGAAGTCTGTGAAGGTCAGTCAAAATAACCGTTCAATAGGCCTTAACTGAACTTATGAAATATGCCCCTGGTATTAAAAGGGCAATATAATCTAAAAGCAGGCTAAGGAGCACCTGAGAAGGATCTGCCTGAGCATGAGGATGGGGGGGTGGAATCTAAAACTGTTACCCAGACAAATATTCTGTGCAGGAGAAGCTGATATTGCTTATGCCTCTTAAGAGACAGCATGCATTCTAGTAACAGCCACCCACCATTCAAGATGTGAAGCAAAGGAAGGACTGTTTCAGACAGCACATTTCTGCTTTCTGTGTCAGCAGATCTAGCAGGCAAATTTAACATTCCCTTTGAAAGCTCCCAGAGCTCCCAGGACTATCTTGGCCAACCAGGGGCAACCCAAACCTAACATACAGACCTGTCAGCAGTTAGATCAGTTGAACTGTATACAAGGAAGAGACCAAACAGCTTTCAAGCACAGAGATGGAAAGATTGCTTTATATATGGCCCAGACTTTTGTTGTTTTGAAGATTATCACCTGCAAATGACAACTCCAGACATGCAGTAACAAAACCCTGCCAAGGCTTCCTCAAACTCTGAACTCTGGCCTGTAGGCATGACAGTCCCTTTCCCTCATCACCTGCATGGTGTGCACCTACTACCACATGTCTGGCACCAATAAGGAGGAACCTGTTACCAATCTGCAACTCTAGGAACTGAAGAAGGGTTTCAAAAGTCTTAGTTATACTGGAAGGGCACATCACAGCAGAACCAGTCTTCCATTCCTCATTTCATATGACCTTGTCTGCCTCCCAGATGTGGCTACGCTGCTGATTAGAGACACAGTCTGAGCACACATTCGTATCTGAACCATGCGACAGGCCAACATGTAAGCCAAAATGCTGACCTACAGACATACATATAAACCTAAGGATGCATCTTTGTCACATCCAGATCAGCATAACTTATGGCTGTCAAATGGTACAATACCACTCTCTCCATCTGCCCCCAAGCGTGAACTCCTGCTGCTTCTCTTGCTTCTGATCTGCCCCATCACGCAGCCACAAGCTGGATCAACTTCTTGACATGACAGAAGTGTTGATGAATTTGTTTTCAGTCAGACCAGAGAGTTCATCTGACTCACCTTCTGACTGCAGGATCGCTAGATCTAATCTAAAGCAAGAGTCAGGAATATACAGACTGAGAAGGAAGAAAAAGGGCAGCTGACAGCAGGCAGCCCACAGATAGTTAGGCTAGACAAGGTAGAGTGTGAAATTGCACCTTAATGTAGAGACCATGGACAGGGTAGTAACAGATAGTCCATTATTTCAAAGAACATGAATCAATGAGCAAGAGCTTGTTGCCAAACATCTGCTAAGGTTTCCTGTGGTTCATCAAGAAACAAAATAAAACTGGGAAAATGGTCACTAACTTGAAACTTCATGTCGAAACAATAGCAACGAAGCTGGTGAAGGGTCTAGAGAACAAGTCTTATGAGGAGCAACTGAGGGAGCTGGGGTTGTTTAGCCTGAAGAAAAGGAGGCTAAGCAATAGGACAAGAGGAAATGGCCTCAAGTTGCACCAGGGGAGGTTTAGACTGGATATTAGGAAAAATTTCTCCACCAAAAAGGTTGTCAGGCCTTGGAACAGGCTGCAGGGAAGTGTTGGAGTCACCATCCCTGGAGGTATTTAAAAGACATGTAAATGTGGTGCTTAGGAACATGGTTTAGTGGTGGACTTGGCAGTGTTAAGTTAACGGTTCGATTCAGATGACCTTAAAGGTCTTTTCCAACCTAAATGGTTCTATGATCCTATGAAAATATCACTCCTTAGACTTCTTTAGGTAGCTCGCTTAAGATGACACACTCTTCTCGAGAGACAGGCTATGGCCAAAGACCATACGAAAGCTATACAAAGCACATACGGACAACTGACCCTTAAGTGGGAACTATCCTGTCCATAACCATATTTTACAGCTAGACTTATGTCCCCATGGCCCCAAATATTAAGAAATCAATCGTGATTTTCAATCACCTTGGCTGAAGTCACAACACCAAACCTGACCTTGCATACAAGTTGTACAGATTCAAAATGGATCAGTCTCCTCATTTTCCTACTAGGAAAACCCCTCCTTCCAAGCTGATGGGAATCTGCTTGCTCTAACAAAATCTACTAAATTGTCTATCAACCTCTCCTGAGCCATTCTTGAAAGAGGATGGGTGAGATAGACTGGGGACAAAACAGTGTTAAGGTAATTTCTGTAGCTGTAAGAATTACCTTCAGGACTCAGCTGATGACAGAAGATAGCTTTCAACTCCCAGTACACTCCAGATGTTGTATTTGGAAGCTTGAATGAAGAGGCTGATAAGAGTGATTTGAATCCACCCCTTATTATTCTGTGGGACTTGTTACTACAGAACACGGACAAGAAAAAGGCCTATGCTGGAAGACCATATTCTGACTCTTTTTTGGTTTTTCCCCTGCACATTGGGAATATCAGAAGCAGCAGCTGGCTAGAAAGCCTTAAATTAACTTAGGCTTGTGCTCCTTTGAGTTAGACTGAAAAAGAGCAGTAATGATGATCACCCAGAAAGATTTGAAATCTACTGAGATTGTCACCTGCAAGATAGGACTCTGTACACAGAAATTTTCCCTGGAAAGAGCCAGTATGAATTCAAACCCACCAGGTAGTTCAAGAACAAACCATTCCACTTAGGGGAAAGTTAGCTCCAATTATGACAAAACTGAACAAACTCAAGTCAGCCTGGGGAGTTCAGCCTCCTGCAAGTTCCTACCCTTTCAAGTGCTCTTCATTTAGTCTCTGTTGATCCTTCTAGTAGAATGTCATACAGCTAGTCACTGCTCTTAAAGGGAGCCCATTGTTTACAGTTTGATCTACCACTAACAAGCCTAGAAAGGGGAAAAAAATGATCAGGACAAAGGGCTCCTGGATGGCTAAGGCTTTAGGTCGGGCCACCAGAAAAGTCTTTATAGAGAGCCTAGACCACTCTGCCTAACAGGTGTAAGAAGGATCTGAAATACACCTGGATTGCCCAAGCACATCAGTTTTAACTAAGAACTGAGACTGGACATGGACTGCTGTTGAGGTTCTGCAACAAACTTGTTTGGACCAAACAGCTCATCATACAGGTTCTTTGGCATTGACAAGACTGGTGCTGGGGGAACTACTTGCATACAGGACTTTGTTGAATGCTGTTCCTCTTGCAACACCACTCCCTTTGACAGAATGGCAAGCCACTGGCATGACGAGTTCTGAGACTCAGACATCACTGGCACAGACAGCCCAGAACTAGCAGAAAGACAAGTCAGATGTACGACACCTGAACACTGCTGCTGGGACTTCTCCCAAGGTTTGAAGTTGTGACAAAATTCAAACATTTTCCCAAATACAGTAAGAAGTGTACATGCGAAGTGCACATGTGAATATTGATTACATCTGAGGCTTCCATTAAATGCATTTACAAACATACTTTTTGATGTCTGTAATAAATACAGGTACCTCATAACAGAATGACTATATTCTTTGGAGAACCACAGAGAAGTTAATGAAGGCCAGGACCCAAGACAAAAGCAAAACTTCAGGAATCCCAAGTTGTTCTATCTATACTTACATAAGAATGAAGTTTCATTCAGCAACAAGATTGTCAGGCCGTACACATTTAACAGATACACCTTTAATCTATCTTAAAACAGCAGTCTCAAATGTCATTGTGCAACACTACGTACCACTCTTCCTAGATCTCCATCACAAGTGCAGTCTCAACCTTTGTGAATTTAACACCATAGAAAACCTAGAGATTCATAGGCACTATTAAAATACTTTTAGTTTTAAATCCACACGGAAGACTGCATCCACTTTGTGGTAAACTTACTATAAGAGAACTATTTCCAATCACGTTAATGCTGGAAGCTAACAGCTTGGCTAGAGTTTGGAATTGTATCTAGATGGTTTATGTGACTTGTTACAGCCGTCCCTCCCTGCAATTAGCTGGGGAGCTCAAAGCCACTGGGATTCTAGGGAAGTCTCAGGGAAGAGATGTCCTCTGGTCTAGCCCCAACTTGTACTGAGGGTTAGAATAACAGATGCTAGAGCAGATACATGAATGAAAATACAACATGGCTGACATGCCTCCATTTTCTTTCTCCTCCCCCTTTCAAAAAACAGAAAGCTTGCAAAGGTGAAAGCTGAGAAAATACTAGCTGTACAGTGTTTCTATGAAAGACATTAAGAACTGCATTAAAAATGGCACGTCTAGAAGTACGCTACTTTTAATGGCAGTTCCGACATTACGGCCAAACTGAACTGGTTCTTTTAACAGCTTAATTACATATCAAGCCTTTTAAAACAGCTTATGGGAGCATGTATTAAAGAAATAGGGAAATTTCTAGCCTTGTTGTCTAGTTTTGTGTCTAAACAAACAATTTGATGACACACATTTTTTTCTGCCGTAGCACAGACATACATCATACCAAACATTAAACGAGTAGACCCTCCTTTGAAATACTTTAAGCAGAATGTTTGAGGAAAGACCAATTTCTTCTGGCTCCCTTCCACACTAAGAGAACCTCACATTGGACTCATCCTGGGTTTTGTCATGCTGTCTTCATTTCAGTGCTGCACATTGAGGCATTACACTCTAATACCACTGGGCAGCCTAAATTTCTGGGCAGATTTCAATACAGCCGCAGTTAAACAATAAATAACAATATTCTTTTTATTGATTTAGACCCAAACATTCCTAATTGATTACACAGACAAATGGATATTCAAAAAGTGGACTAATTACCTCTCAGAATCTCTATTTGGATATGATCTTGCAAGAGGTGATACTGCATGGCTAAGAACAATGTAGGCATAATCAAAAACTTGTTTCACTTGCATGGCACCGTAAGAACTTCTGCCAACGTCGTTTCCTGAAATAATGTGACAGTCATCAGATCATCTTTTTTTAATATCAGTAACCAGAAAATTATTCATACTTAAAGCTCAGAAGCCTTAACAACACAGCTTAATTCTGTTTAAACTGGTTAGCCCACCCTACTCATATCAGGAACAACTAAGTGTGCCTATCTCAATAAAAGAAGCTAAGCTTAGGAATTGACACTTAACATTATGCATTCAATTTACCACTTTTAAAATACCAATGTACCAGCGCCTGAAAGAAACCGAGAATAGAGATCAGCTTAAAGCTCTTATAGCTGTCTTAAGAGGAAACCTACCAAGCTTAAAGCATCATGTCTCACTTACCAGTAGAGTTTCTGCAGGCCAAATTCAGCTTAAAATTCCACTTGTGCAACCACATCATCTTCACAGGGCCAGGTATACTTAGATCAACCCCTACTTAACCTTATCAAAACTACAGATTAATAGACTGACACAGATTACTTATCTCCACAGGATAAACCAGTTTGTCAAAATCTATCACAGAGGATTCCAGAAGTTTGTACAGCATTGTTTTTTTATCAGGTTAGTGGCACTTCTTGACTGCCCCTCTTTAAGCATGAGACATTTATAACGGAACTCCTTCCAAATCCAGTGCCATGTGTGAGGAACTGCAGAAGTTAAGAACATGCTAAAGCTTCTGTATCAGCGACAATGTACAAACATTGGTCTCCCATTTGACACCTAGAAAAATTCGGCTATTACTAGCAATAAGAAACATCTGGGGGTTTTTTTGTAGATATATTTGGCACCAGACACCAAAGGTTCACCGTCACCACTCAATTTAAGAAACACAAAGAAAACTTCCTTCAAATTGCATGTCTAAAATACAGACTAGATCTTGAGTGGGTAGAAAGCTGCTTACAGTACAAGATTCCCTCCTTCAGAATGATGCTTGAAATGCTATGAGAACACTGGAAAGGGATGAACCACTGCATGGTGGTGTTGGGTTAAGGGTTGGACTTGATGATCTTAGAGGTCTTTTCCAACCTTAATGATTCTATGAGTCTATGATTCTATGTTTATTTTAAGCTTGAAAATCAGATCAGGGCCCACGAACAAGCTTTAATGAAAAATCCGCTTTGAAAATTGATGGGTAAAGGACAGAATCTATCCTTTGGAGGACTGAATCCAATGAGGCTGAATTTGACTTTAGAGGAACCCTTCACTCTCAGTATTTTGGCCAGCAAGCCATTATAGACAAATATGCTGAGGTCTGCCATCCAGGGGAAAAAAAACAGCCTTGGCTTTACTACCTGACAACACATTTTAGTCCTCCAAGATTCTCAACCATAATGCCACTTTAACAGAAAAGCATAATCAATGAAAACAGACTGGGAACATAAGAGCATTTTGGGAACACAAAATTTCTTCAGTAATTTATATGGTCAAACAAAAACTGATCAAGAAATACTTCCTGTTTACTGAAGTAACTAAGTATCTTGTTCTGAATGCACCGCTGCAGTATCCAGCAGCTACTAGGCTCAAAATTACAGAAGCCTCTCTAAAAGGCGTATTTGCAATTGGACTCTATCCTGAAGTAGAAGCAGACACCAATGTAGGCCTCGGACAGTAAATCTAGGAAGAAACACGTTGTAGTTAAGTTCAGAGCTGCACTACAAATTAGCAGAGGACTTCAAAAAGGACTTAGTCCGAAGGCAGCTGAATAAAGACCAAAGTATTTCAATGGTCAGGAAATCAGAACTCAAAAATGTTAATTCTACCAGAAAAACAATGATTAATTCAGTACAGGTTTTCCAGGGGCAGGACACATTGTTGTGTCCTGCAACAATGCCACCTTCCACATAACAACAGGCTAAACATATATACAAAAGAGAATTAAATTGAAAAGCAATACAGAAATGGAATATATACAAGTGGCTAAACAGACATAACTGCACCTACCACTAAATTCGAGTCCATCTGTGGTTGGACTCGATGATCTTAAGGGTCTTTTCCAACCTAAATGATTCTATAAATTCACATAACAGGAATTAAGAACACACACTTAAACAAATTGCATTAGTTTAGTCTAATCTGGTGCTAAGGCAGCTACATTTGACATGCATCCTGCATGGAGTTACACCAAAATGAAGACACTGCTGCTACAAACTGTTGGTTACTCCTTTCATCAGTTGTTGCCACCTCTACTATTGTGCCAGCAAAAGAAATCATAAGCCTTCCTTAACCCACTTATGGCAAACTCAGGCAGTTTAGTTTAAACCACCAATGAAGTTGTGTATGTGTCTTGATTGAAGCAGATTTGAGAACAGAGGCAGGACAGCTTATGCCATAGCATGCCTAGGTTCCTGGATTGCTTCATTCTGCACCTGTAATTAGTTCATAAAAATGTCTGAATAAACATGTCTTATTCGATTATACAGTCTGCAGAGCTTCTGACTTGCACTGCAGCTGAAAAGCAGGTATGGAAGCCAAAGCTACTATGCGAGCTACTGTCAACTGTACCAGTCAAGTCTGTATAGCCCTACCCAATCCAGAAAGCAATATACTAAAGCAGACAGAAGATCACATATTTGCATTTGCTGTCCTGAATAGATTTTATTCCGACAGATCGTTCTCATTAGCAGATCACGTCTTACATACCTGAGCATCCTTCGTCACAATCTACAGACTGATCAGTTAAACCACGTAAGCCAAATGCTTTCACTCTTTAAAAAACACAAAATCATACAGACTTCAATCCTCAGATGAACATTAGTAGATAACAATGGTGTGTGATTTCATGTATAATTCAATCCTCATTCTTTCTTACAAAGCCTTCATCCCTAAAGGAGCATGTCTAAGATTTCCATCACTCACTATCAGTATTACCACTCTGTCAGGTACCTTTCCATTACCTGAAGCAGTTTTAAGAACGTGGCCTGGAAAGGTAAAAGTAAGACCATGAGTTAGGACTGAAGCAGATCCATTTATGTTAAGCTATTATCTAGTAAGCACCTTTTTGCAACATTTAGCATTAAAGGGGTTCTTTCAGATGCTAACTTCAATGTATCTGTGTATTTTTATAAATGCATATATTTTATATACACACACATTTGCAGGTTCTAATGAAAAGTAGCAGATATTGAAAAGCTGCCATGAATAACTTTGAGCAGCCACTAAGGCTAGAACAGATAATCCCAATAGTTGTTGCCAATCTCAAATCTAATTACTTCCTGTATTTGTGACCCATCAAGATGCAGAAGCAAGCAACACGAAGCATAATTAGTCCTGAAGTTAAAGAGTCTCTTTTCAAAGAACACGCATTGAATTTAAGGTTTAGAACTTTTGTTAGTGCCCACAGCAATTCAGAATGAAGAACAACCTTTCTCATTAAGGGAGCAGCACAGGTGGAACTCCAAGTCTTAAACTGCGATTTAGCTACTCTTGCCACTACCAATCTGAACCAAGATCAAAATCATACCTGTTCTGAGCATCAGAAATGTCTGAAGGACCTTGATAATCACGTGATTCACAAAGGCATAAAATAATAAGCTTCCCTAACAACCTGCTGAATAAATGCCAAGTTTGTTTTACAACCACAGATTAAAGATTTGTCACCTGCAACCAGAGTCATGTCTTCCAAGACAGGATACTGCTAGACCAACTCCGCACAAACCTCTTCTAGGATGATATCATCTACCCTGCTCCAACATGTTCCTGTGAACAGACTTCCGAGTGCCTGGTTTTGCAGTTCTCCTAAATGAATGCTTTCACTTTTTAGACAAAGAGAGGACAACTGCTTTGAGAAACTGAAATGGTGGCAGCTACCAGATGTTTATAGAAACTCCCTTCTTTGGATGATGCTAAGGGAAAGATTTTCATCTCATTACCCTGTCCTAGGACACTAACTCAAGATGAAGAATCTTAGGCTATGTACGAAGGCAAAGTATAAACTACCACTTCAAAATGCATCACCGGTTACATTAGCCTGACATCTCAAATCCAGTTTTCAACACACTTCCCACTTCAAGTATAGACTCCTGACATCTTTGTCGGAATCTTTGTTCTCAAATCACAGAAATTATAATCCTCTAGCACCTAATAATCAGTCTTTGAGAATCTCAGAGGAAACCCTACAGCACCCAGGAGAATCTGAGCAAAACCCACTACAACCAAAACAGCAACACAACAGGTTGATGCCTGTTCCTTCCAAATCTAGTAACTAACAGAAGGTACTGAACAGATAGAACTGAAGTATCATATCCTTCTAATGACATCATTTATCTGTTAGACAGACATCACCATTTCACACTGAAGAAAAAACAGTTCCTCCAACTTAAAATAACTAACCCCACCGAACTTAATCCTGTCCCCTACAAGACTGTCTAAAGTTATTCTTGTGAGTTATACCTTTCAGCATTCTATTGCTGAACCAGTGAATACACTCATAGGAGCGACTTTTACACTACTTGGATAATCTTGCGAAATTGAAAGGCTTTTTTTCCATCCCTATATTTTTTGTCTTATTTCTGGATTAAAAAGTCATCTTTCGAAGTCTTCTTCTAAGGCTTAACCAGAACTATACAGAAAGCTGTGATCAGGGTAAAAAAGGATTGCAAAAAAAGATTAAAAACTTGCGCATACAGTGCAAAAACAGATTTGAGGGAAAAATTCTACAGCAGCTTATGGTAACTGAAGTCAAGAAACAACTGTGTCCACTCTACCAAAATACTTGTTCCCATCTCCTCCACAATACTGGCACTGACCCTCATGGAGTTAGACATTGAGTGGATCTGACCACAAACTAATCAAGCAGAGATGACGACTTTTCAACTGGTCAAGGACCTGAACCCTTGGAAAAGCTTTTTTGTACTGGGACACACGCAGTAACAGAACTAAACTAATTAACAGAATTCTAGACATTTTCTAGATACGTTTGACAGGTACTTTTAGATACTGTAAGAATATATGGTTAAGTCTAGATCTAAGGAGGCTGTATTCATGATTCAAAGAGCCATCCTATAGGTTCTATATAATTTTCCTCCTAGTTCCATCAGGCAAGTTCTGAAGCTCTGTGATAGCTGCCAGAAAATATCCCTATGGGACACAGTGGTCACATAACTTGAAGTCATTGTCAGCTTTCATTTCCCTTTCCAAAACACTTTCTCTCCTGTAAGAATTACATTATCTCAGCCCATATAACCACAGCTAAAATTTAATTTTTATCAACTCTTTGATGGCATCTAACTAGAGATCTTTCTTCTATAGTTCTTTGCTTCTGCAAGATTTATCCTAGGAGGAACAGTTTAGAACCCCTACTGGACTTGAAATTTATGGTTTTTTGCTTCTCTGAAGAGTCATTGAAGAGAAGAAAAAATTCCACAGCACTATTAGCAGCGATTAAAACCTTGTGCAGCATACATAATTTCTTCTCTTTCAGTCCTCGGCAGATAGGAAGGAACAGAACTGGAGGACAGTAAAGGTTTTTGACTCTAAAGAAACGTGGCTCATGCTGCTACCCAAATGGGTCTTCAGGCAAGTACACAGCTACTGAAGGAAATCTCAGTAACGCAATGAAAGGTCTGCAAAATCACACTTATGCCTGGCCAAGTGCAAGAGTCATGATGGACACAAACTCAGAGCTACAAACATATCAGAGATGTAGTTAGACAAATAAGTATCTTAGATTGCAACCTGTTCTAGGGAACTATGAACATTCAGCATAATGAGTGTTTAGAAAAATGCCAGACTTCAGCTCCTGATCCATGGTATTTGCTTTAAAAGTGCTGTACATAAGCAGTCTACCCACAAGACATGACAGTATGGAGTTTGAGTGCCAATTACATTCTAGAAATACTAATGCTGAAGTCCAAATTAACTGAAAACTGACTTCGTTAAAAAACTGTTTTGAAATTTCAGCTACTTGTGACGGTCTAAATAGAATCCAAACTGAATACTATAAAGCTGGAAATTTTTTTCAGGAGCTCAGCCAAAATTAATCTTGATTACTTTGAAGGTTACGGAATCAAAACCAACTCTTAAAGAAAAAAAAATATTTTAAGTTATTTACTTTCAAAAGTACACGCAACGATAACTGGCATTCTCTAAAGGCTGCTGTGCAGCACAGAAGCCAGTTATGCAAACCACTCTTCACATCAACACCATAATACAGCTGCTCCCTTGCTACACATTCATGGACATACACCCATGTTTCTGTGCAGTCTCTACTGCACCGCCCTGCAGGACAGTACCTCATCTGCAGCGTTTCTTTCCCATATGGTATAATTTATCTGAAGTACAGCACCACAGACTGTGACCAGAAAAGCTACATCTTCCATTCTCATTCTCTCATAATGAACAACGGAGAGCTGTTCCTACTAACAAACCCCCTTCCAGGATTTCCTGGACCTCTTCCTTTTGCTACCCTTCAGCACTGTTAGAGAATCTTACACACTCAACACAGTTCTGAATCTCCAACGCATTATGTGTCTGCACTGTTTGCATGCAATCCAATTTACTCAGGCTATGAATCTTGGGAGACTTCAGGTCCCTATCCTTTAGCCCACTCCGTAACTGTGCCTCGACACCAGCGCAGCGTCTTAACTCACTTCACAGACTTTAGGGACTCTGACGTAAGCTGTGAGAGCACAAGTTGAGCCAGAGCTCCGGAATATTGGAAGAAGTGTACAATCTTACCAGGCAGGAGAGGATCTTCAATACATAGCATGGATGGTCTGTATCCATTAGTCATGACTTTCATGATTTCTTCTTTGGCAATATAGGCACCTCCATTTTTTATTCTAATACCAGTTTTCAAGTAGTTAAAATTCCTTCCATAAAGTTCAAAAAATTCTATCAGAAGCATTCCAAGGTTTTCATCAGCTCTTCTGGCATCAATTCTTGGATGCAGCTGTGACACAGAACAGTAATTATTAAAAATTAATGCTTTTCATACCATAACACAGTGCAACAAAAAGCTCTCATTTAAACAGCTGAGTATAATCTCTTACACAAGTCTGAATTGAGTCATTAATTCTTCATGTACTTAAACTACTTTCATATAACCAAGAGGGGGCAGCACTTCAGCAGTATCTGGAAGCCACAGAATTCTTTCTTCCCTCCTCTTCCAGCTTTTTGAGGATTAGTAAATTCTTTTCCCTAATCCAAAAGCAATAAAGAAGTACTGCATACTACATTACAGCTTAATTAGTAACAAAGCAATACCTGATTTTTCACAGAAAATCCATCGGTCTTAATATTTTCAGAAGCAGGGGGGGAATCTATTTACCCCAATTGAAATACAGTTCTTTTCTCAATCTCCTCATATTATATATGGTATGTAAAATCTACAGTAACATTTCAATTAATCATTAACAGCAGCAGAATATATAGGTTTTTCCATTATTACAGCTGCTGAGAGACGCTAACACTGTACCTCATCACACTCGTACAAAGCTTACTGTCACAAAAATGTAATGGAAGAAGTTATAACTCATTAGCTATTTCACCAGTTACCTACAATATCTGCCAGTTTTAAGTATGTCAAAACCTAACCAACATATAATTAAAAAACAACTTGACTGATTTCATAATTTTAATAAACACTGAAATCAACTACTCTGCACATTCAGTACCAGTAGTCTAGGAAGCAACAGACTTAAACTGCATCCTGGCAGATTTACAAAACACCAGTAAGATGATTCAGGTACTGGAATAGGCTGCCCATGAAGGTAGCATAATCCACATCACAGGCCCTGGTATAGCACAGCCTCTATGCCGTTCACAAGGCTCCTGCTGCTGTTCCAGTTCACACAGTGAACAGAAGTTCTTAGAAGTTTAAGAGGTAGTCCATAGGAGCTGCCAATGATCAAACACCTAGAGCCGTAACAGGAAAGCTGTGCATTGCTAGGGGAGTCTAAAGAAACAGCACCGTAACAGGGCATAAGCACAGAAACCAAAATATTTTAAAGAACACAGAAACAAATAAGGAACAGACTTACCTGCAGGAAACTAATTGCCATTAAAATTAGGCTGTAAGAGCTAATTCCACCAGTAAAAACTTCATTCAAGTCCCTCTGAAGGAGGAACTGTTTTAATACTAAAATCAAGTAAGGCAGCAAAGAATATTTCTGCAAAGCAAAATAAGTCTTATCAATGACAATGTCAACATTCCAAAACAAAGAAAGAACTACACAATCTCAACACAAGAAGATTCATCTTCTAATACAAAAATGTTATTCAGTAGTGTGCTATAAAGTGTTTCCACAGAAAGAACTGAAACATGCTTTTTTTTTGTTCTAGAAACAGATGAATAGACTTCAACTCTTATTTGATCAAACAGCTTACATATCAAATTTATCCCCACCCACCCAACAGGAAAATTTTTATATTCTTCTTTGAATGCCAGTGTCGCTCTTTATAGTCAAAGCTTTCCATCTAAACAGTACTTTTACTGCAGAGCATAAAAGTAAACTTCATTTTAAGTATGTAGCTACAGAAGAGTTGTTTTTAGGCAATGTTTAGCAAGATAGTATTCATAATCAAGCATCACTTAAATTCAAGGTAAGCAAAACTTGAACAGACTTGCTTTAGAAGCAAAGTTTAGTACCTATCTGCAGATCTAGATGTGATTGTAGAAGTCCTTTCAGTGTACAGGTTTATCCACACAAACACCTAGCACTCGAAGGCAACACTGAATAGATACCAGTAGAAAATAAATTAAAATATCCATGTTTAATTAGTATTAATGAAAACAGTCTTCAGCAATAAATTTTCAAAAGTCTTAAGCCATACCAAAAAAGGTTTGCTAAGCATCTGGCACATCGTTGGTAAGTAATATAACATTCATTATATGGCTGATACCTTCATGTATTCCTTGATAAATCGAGCTGCCTTCACACCAGTTTCTACATTAAAACTGATGTCAACTTTCACTTCTGTCTCCTGGTCAGTAAGTTTTATTATTGGTACCTGAAAAGATTAAAACAAGGTTTTATGAATCCCCAGAAATGCAACACTGGTGCTATTCTCCAGCTTACTCACTTAAGACAGACGCACGGATACTATCAGTCCAAATGAATGCAACTATCAAGACAAGGAAACATGTTTTTGAGAAAAGATAACAATCCTAACTTGACTAACAAGCGAACACTTTTTAATGAGGTGATTAAAAACACCTGTATGTGTGGTACATGATCACATTAACTTAGATCACTCATGTACTCTCCTATAGCTATTAGATATCTGCCTTCATAGCTGCAATATCAGTGTTTTGTAAGGCAACCAAATTTACTTAATTTAATGACTCACTGCTGTTAATAGGAGACATTCTACTCTCATAACCTCTGGGAACTGCATTCATCTGACCCAGCACTGCACCATTCACTTACTAAACTGACAGACGACTAGCCTATCAGAAAAAATAAAGCACCGTCTGTTGGTTTATCAAGCTGAACTGGTTCACTGCAGAGTCAAATGAAAGCCAGAACGGATAAAAGCAAAGCAGGAGTAGCAATACTTCCTCTTCTGGCAGCAATAAAATATTATAGAACTACTGAATAGGTAGTTCAGTCTCACACCACCACCTTGAAGGCAGTGTCCTACAAAATCATCTTACAATCATAACCTAAACTTCATCTGATAAGATTTATTTTAAATTGAACTTCTTGTATTTTTAATCTGAAATGGAAAACAAAAAAGAGCAGAAGTATAGCATCACTTTATACCAACAGCAGAGGGAATAAAATAAGAAAGGCTAGTAAAATTGATAAGCCTAGCCTAGTGCCATTTTTCATCACTAACTGGTATCACTGATTCTGAAAATCCCACTCATTCTCAGGTAAACCAAAGATGACCAGAGCTAATGTTATATACTGCTACTCCAACGGAAGCCATAGGAATCTCGTGGACCTAAAAGAGTCACCCTATTTCAGAGACCACAAAATGTAACAGCTTGCTAGAAGAAGTCTGGAATACTCTGCTTAGTCTCCTGGAGAAAACACCACTTACTCAGCAATATAAAATTCTCATACTTTAAGTTTTTAGTATATTCAAGTGATCCGTTAGGCTTACAAGACAGATGCAAGAGATACTATACATCAGTTTCACAAATGAAATAGAGCTCTTAAGTAGCATATTTTGGAAGGGAAAAACAAATGTTAGGTTTGGAACACTTCACTGCCATCAGAAACAAGACAACCTGAAAAATCGGTGTTTCAAGCTAGACAGCTCTAGTTACTGGCCCCTGGCTAAACAAAAGTCCTCTCAAAGGTCAGTGGAAAAACATTATACAAATAGTTAACTTATTTTACTAGATATTTTGCAAATACTGACTTCCAGATCTTTATTGACAACATAAGCATAAAGTATGGCCTTCCGGCAAACACAGTACACAGAATTACTGTTGTCCATGTAAAAAACTGTGTGCTACCGCTAAGCAGAGACAGATTCTACTAAAATCTTGCACAGAGCAAAACATTGTGCTTAAGACAATATCATTAGCTTCATGAATTAAGAACGCTATTTATCACCATCATCTTAAGGGGACTGAAAGCTTTTCAGTTCAGTATTCCAAAGACTATTACTTACCGTAGCTTTATCAAGTACTTTAATGGAATATGGCTCAGCCACATTATGTTTTCTTAGTGCTTGCTCCAACAACTGTAAAGGGGGCCGTTCCCATTTCCCAAAAACAACTAGATCAATATCACTAAACAAAAAGAACACAGCATGAGATCCATTAAATCTAAAGCACAATACTCCACCAAAAAGATGGTAAAACTGGCATTCTACATATTACAAGTCCTCCAGGGTGACCATTTTGCAACTTTTAATCTAGGTTCCCAATAAGCTTCCTTTAGCAATGTTAAGTAAGAGATGGTCTAGTGTGCTTTAGGACCCAAAGTAGTATTCTAGCTTCTTGTTTCCAGTTTTCTGGTGAGTTCTTTGAGCTCCTCTCCCTTTTACCTTTCTTGCTCTCTCCCCTCTGACTTCCACAGCCCAATCTCATCCCTCATCTACCCATGTTGACAGGCATGTTAATAGTCCAAACAATTTTTATCACTGATTGTTATTCATAGAAATTAAATTTCCAGTGCTTTCATACTGAAAACTTAATTGATGTAAAGACAACTTAGTCTTTAAGACACTACTACACAGGTTTTCCACATCTATCTATTGAATGATTAAGCGATATAAAACACTGAATTAAATAAGACATTTTGCTCTCCAAAAAAATGGGAAAACACAGCTGTGATGACTCCTCTGACTTTGCACAGTAACTCTGTGATAAGTGACACACTCTCAGTATTTCACTTATTTAATAAAACACAATCTTTACACAGGAAATACTAAACATTCAATTTCACTGTATCTTGAAAACAAAGAGCCAAAGACTACCCCCAGACACAAAGAGGAAAAGGTAATTCACCAAGGGGTCAATAGGTACCTAGAGCAGTACAATGGTATATCAAATACGTATCTCAAACCTGTAAGTTCAAAAGCTCTTCCCTTTGTCACATGGGACATGAGGCAAAAATTTTACTGGAAGTTTGATAGGTTTACACATTCCAGTCTAAATTCCCCTTTAAAATTTACCATTACTCTAAAAGAAGACAAGCTTTTATATAAAAAGTAAATTGTTACTTACCTAGTAGGAAGATAAAGCCCTGTACTAAAGCTGCCAAATATCTGGACCTGAAAAAAACCCACACCAGTGAAATATCTTGTAATTATGAATGCTCATTTCATTTTACTTTCACAAGACTTAAGATTCTTCCGGACCTGCTAAGGATATAGCCCACTAAAAAAGTTACTGAACTTACTTTATTACATACTCTGTCAAGCCTGTACAAATACACTTTCTCTTATAGATGCTACTTCAGAGGAAATTGGTTTTTTTTTTTTTTTTAACATGAAATGACTACCTGCTAGCAGCAGAGCACAAACTTTTGAAACAAGTCCTTTTCACTATTTATTTCCAGTTCGACAGAAGTGTAAGCTGTTATAAATCTCCTTCCTTCCTGTTCCCTTCTTTCCTCATAGGACAGCTTTACTGAAATTGGAAGAGTTTAAGGGAAACATTTTTTCCAAATTTTTAGGTTTAAAAAAACAGCAACTGCACCTAAACATATAGTTCAGATAAACATGAATGCTCCAGATTTTATTGTCAGGATGACTATGAAATTCTGGTATGTGTTTGTGTGTGGAAAAGAAGGCATGCTGAAGAGACATTCACAGTCCACATCAAATACTTTCAGTATGCTTCCAGTCTAGAGAATTGAGATGTTCTTCCCTGTCTGCTACAGCACAGCACAATTTACAAGTTCACTTCTTTGAAGGGACCTATGAAAAGACTGGGCAACACTGGGCCATTTCAATGTTTATATCTGTTCCCACAAGCTAGAAAAATGTTATTACTAAGGAAAAATCACAGGTGAAGATGAAGTAGATGAGCTTTACAGTATCTTTAGCTCAGTACTGTGGACACAGCCCTCACTCTTCATCATGGGAGGCTATGAAATCACAGTGGTCTGAAATGGTTTTCTGCTTGTTAATGACACTACTATCTGGTAATCAGAAAGGTGATGCTAGAGACACAGTTTACATTACATTGCTTTTGGATGTTTTTTTGTTTGGATGAAAATTACTCTTTGGGTAATAAAGGGTTTGAAAATACAACAACTTTGGTTGCAAGATATCTCAGGAAGTCAAGTGTCCCATTTTCCCACTAAAGCAGGGCTAAAGTAATTCCCTGAATGTCAAATTTGTGATGAGTACAAAAAAAAAATCTGGGGTTTTTAACCGTTCTTTTGTGAAATATTTATATTTACAAATATCTACAGTCAGGATTCCTTGCAGAAATGGATACATAAGTAGTCAGTCTCACTTTAATATTCCAAACGAAGTTGTGCAGAGACAATCAATTTAATAAGCTTTTACTTTAAGAAATGCACTTCTTAAAGTGGACAGTTCTCCACATCCCCAGTTCTCAAAATGAAAAAAAATTATCAGTAGACTTCATTAACCTGAAATCTAGGTTTTAAATTTCCTCCACTTTTTAAAATAAACTGCCAAGTAGCACAAGAGCTGTGATACTAAGTCAATTGCCTTAAGTTTGAAGTCTTATCTGTTAATTTCTAAAACACAAAGATAATAGCAAAGTTAAGTGAACCAAGCTCTACAATTTACTAGAGAAGCAAATCAGCACTTAAATTACACTCACATCAGCTGTAGGCCAAAGATCTTTGATGACTGTTTCTATTCTTTTCACCACTTCTCTTCTCATAGCTGCTTCTTCAGGACGAGGGGACATGAAGTCATAGAAGTCAATTATTTCTTCATGTAGTCTAAAGGAGGAAGTAGCATCAGCTATAATGATGATTTAACTATTACAATACATTTCAACAAAATCAGGCCATAGGCTTTATTTAATTTAATAATTTAAAACGAAATACAGCAGTACTTTCAAGAAAGGTGAATACCACAACAATTAGGCTTTCATATGGGAAACTGGCGGGTTCGGGATCTGGGACAGATATACTCATACTTGATTTTCATGGCAGCACCTCACGGTAATCTCAGCAATACCTACATATCAGCCCTCATCACATTACCTAAATGCTACAGATGTCAAAAGACACAGGATGCAACCACTAATAGACATTTACTAACCTTCTTACTGGCTCAACAGTGAAGGTCAAATTCGATTCCTGATTCCCAAAGATTATTTTCTTCAAAAAACAAAGCAAGTCGTAAAAACTACACAATGATCCAAATGTGAAGCAGCACAAGAACAATTAAAATCTTCAAGTAGGCTTATTCTTCCAGGGGTTCTTACTTCTGTGTATGTGGAAGTTTACACAGACTTGGAAACAGCCCACTGGCATTAACGAGGTTTTGTAGAGGGTGATAAAAGGGACACTTGAGTATTCCTTTATGTGAAAATGTCCACTTTATCAAACAGGGATTCCTTTGACCACTTGAGCCCTTTATTAGCAATTCATTCATATAAGAAGTGACCTTCCAACTGAACTACTCAAAGTGAGAAGCGTTAAATATATTCTCAAGTGTAAAGTACATTAATATCACTGTTACATAAGGAGTTCTGACACTGGATCTTTATACACCTGTTAAGTCCTTTTGTTTCCCATCTCCTGATACTATAGAACACTCGCTGCCAAATTTGAAAGAAGATCAATTTGAGTTTTCAGGTGAATGTCATGTTTGCTTTCAATGGAAAAGCATCAAGCTACAAACAAAAACAAAAAATGCAAGTAACTATTGCTGTGATATTTTACAAAAACATCTTTTTGACATTGACGTATTTCTAAGATTTCTCTGTAATTCAAGAAACATACTAATTCAACATTGTAGTGAAATCCAAATACTGTCCTGAAAAAAAAAAAACAGGTTCAATCCTTAGTTAACATACTTAGCCTTCCAAAAGGAAAATTTTATACATCTTTAGTAGAACTCTTAACTCTTCCACTGAGACTTTTGCAACTCATTTTACTAGAAAATTCCCACTCTAACTGATAGACTCCAATAGACCATATGCCCCATTTTTGTCAGGATTCCTTTCCATACACAAAGAGATTTTAGCAACAAAGCACAAAGATACTTCTGAAAAGCATACATGTTTAGAATTAGTTTGCCCTTTCTCTTATCTTAAACTGGGTCTGGATCCACAATTGAACATTTAACTACACAGCAGACTTATCAACTTAACATTTCAATTTGTTGATGAATCTACTTGATTTCAAAACTTCAGAACAAGACAGAAATACAAACTAACATGCTCTTATTTTGTTTCTAGAAAGTATACTTTTTTTTTCCCCTTTCCAAGATGACCAATGAAGAACATATTTGAATACACCTAACAGCAGTGGGGCCAAACTAAAGACTTCCCATTGTCCTGCTTATAAAAATCAGCAGTAGGCAGATACAGGGTGAAAGCAAGAAAATTCAAAGCAGTTATCCAACTCCCTTGCAGCAATCCTTCCAAGCCTCCAGTAATTTCGTTTGGCATACTTTTGGGGCGGATTCCAACCATAATGTGTGTTAGCTCAAAAGACTTTTCTTCCACTGATTTTTCCAGGTCTTTTTAGTTCTTTTATGCTTTTGTCATTCATGGCATTCTATGAGAATTTAAGTATGCATCAGAATAAAGAAGTGCTTTATTTTAAACTGCTGCCTGTTAATGATTTTATCTGATGCTCCTCTTCTTGGGGGGAAAAAAGTTATTACTGGTAGTTCATCTCCAAACATAACACTTCTCAGGCTCTCAATTCAGATCCACTTGTCTCTATCCACCAGCTCTTTTTCAAGCTAGCAATCCTTATCTGTTTTTCTCTCCTTACACAGGAGCAGGTCCAAAGTTTGATCACTGCTAACCTTCTTCAGCTTGTTTTCGGTTGCACCATGTTTTCTGACAGGTGGCCAGAAATGCACACAGAGTCAATACAGAATTACACCACTCAGTCCACGACACATACCCATTTTCATTTTATTGTCCATGTCTTTGCAAAGATTGCTGCTAACTGCTATTTGAGGATATCTGAGCATACAGCTGCTTTTTAAAAGAAACCATTATGAAGGAGCTTCAAGGTGTTTTCTGAACAACCAACATAAAGCCCACCCATGGGGTATATTCAGTCTGAATTATTTTTCTTTAGATTCATGAGTCCATATTTACTAGAATTTAATTTTATCAGCAATTTTATAACCTAATGAACAATGAATTCCCACTGCAACTGTCTGCAGTCAGCTCTAGCTTTCTGTTATCCTTTCTATCCTTTTCTCATTCATTTCTTCCCTCCAGGTACTTATGAATATATCGAGCAACAGTCTTGAGTAATTCCACTGGTAACCTTCCCTTATTATAAAGTAAATAATTTATTCTTTCCTTTGGTTACTTCTAAGCAGTTAACCCATAAGCCTAGCAAACCTGTGACTGCTCAGTTTTTACAAAGTCTTCAAAAAAAGAATCTCAGAAACATTCTTCTGAAAAAATCCAACAGTTCTGTGTTATCAGACTGACCACATGAGTAAGAATTAACAATGAATCCTTCAACGAAATGAGACCTGGGAGACACAACTACCTTTATCAAAGCATGCACTAGCCCCTTTCTTTATGTTTGCTCATGCAAATAAGTTCTGTTTTGTTATGGTATCAACCCTATCCAACCACTCCAGGAGAACCAGACATTCCTGAAAAAATGCATTTACACTAGCCATCCAATATTAGGGAAGAAGAAGAATAAAAGGGGTCTCAGTTCCCTGGCGCACTGCAGCCTCTACCATACACAGCACAGTCTTTCAAAAGCAGCCTCTAGTGTGTCAGCAAGGTCAGAAAAACCAGCAAGCACACAAGCCCTCTCTCACTTCAATGTCCCACTGAGCTTCTGTTCAGATGATTAACACTGTCGCAATTCTTAATCACATCATGAAAGACTCAAAAGAATACCACTCCTCGCTAGTCTACATTTCCTTCCCTGATCTAGTTTTTAAGAAGTCAGCTTCATATTTTCTACCTTGGACTGGCAAGGCAGCACTTCATTTAATGCTTCAGTTTGCATGGGTCAACAGCACAAGACCTAGATAATCAAAACTCATTTAAAGTTCAAACCATACGCTGTGGTTTCATGGTTAAGTTCCTCTGGAATTCTTCAGCATATACCACCAGAGATGGTTGTACAACAGTTATCATTCTGCTGATGGATTTGAACACTCCTTACTGAAATTTAAAATGACAGTTGCCTGGAGTCAAAGAAAGTTCTGGTGAGAAGCCTCTGAAGCCCTTCTCTGACAAAAAGCAATGCAATTAGTTCACTTAGTTTTTACTACATGATCTGACTTCTCCTGGGTGCCCTTATATGTCTCTCTATGAGCCCTAGTGACTCTGGCAAGTTTCTTGCTTTCGATGTGCAAAGTTTTCAGGTTTTAATGCACTTAGCAGACCAGTTCTCAAACCCTCTGTCTTAACAGACTTCTGTTTTGTTTGCTCCTTCCAATTTTCCTTAGTTCAACAGCTTCTACTTCTCACAGAACATCATCTTCCTGGTTTACGTCCTTCTGGCTAAGAATCAACGCTATCTCCACAGTCGGCATATGACAACACGACCATCTTAATGCAGCATTTTCAAGCATTCTACCCTTTTGGCTTCCTCCTGAAGAAGCTTCTCAAAACTGAGATGCTTTTTTAAAATTTAATGTTACTGTAGTTTACATTTTTCTAAACATCTTTGCTCAGACAAGGTTATTGGAACACAGTCACAAAAGCAGCTCTGATATACATAAAGCAAGATGCTGTATGCTGCTTGGGACTAATCTCAGAGTAACTTCTCTACTAGCTGAAGGAATAATTTGGTGACTGAAAAAACAGATCACAATGGGATATTCACCCAGCCAATACAGGGATAGTTTTCAGTTAACTATTTTGCCCATGTAGTCCCTATGATCTTCGTAAGCATTTATTACTTCTTAAGTCAGGACTGTGACAGTATCTTAATCATTAGGAACAGAATTTCAATTTGCAGCACATCATGTACATGCAGATATAAGTAACATCTTAACTCTTTTTTTAAAAAAATAGAACTTCAACATATAGCACGAGTCAATTTTCTCAGTCTCCTTCTGGCATCGTAAAGAATTTGGGCTCCAACAGCATCCCAACACCTAGCTATCTTCTATCACATTTTAAGATGCCTATTATACTACTTTCCTAGCAAAGATAGGCATTTTAATTGACTTTTTCACAAGGCAGTTTCACTATATTTATAGAATCACTGGGAACGAAATTTCTTGGTGAGATGTAACTGTACTCTTAATGCATGGTGGAAAAGATTAGAACACAGGGATGCAGAAGAGAGGCTACTTGTACTTGCGACACTATTCAGCTTGCTAATTTTAACAGCCTGGAGGAACCTACCATTCACTAATGCTATTACTGCTAAGCACATTAAACTTCTGCTGCTTACAGGCTGAACTATGCAACAGAACTGACACCTTTTGTTTACCAAAAATTTATCCCTTTTACTGTTTTACGAAGGCAGACACACTTCTAGTCTTCAGGTTAAAATAATACTCCGGAGACATCCTCAGACTTTTGTAATCCTTTTCTTTAAATGCAGGTTTCTAAGAAAGGAGATCATTTAATCATTTACTTTACTCATCATTTACTGTATCTACAACTACTATTATATATAACATTGACTTGTTACTTCAAGGGCTAACTTCAATGCAGTGAAATAAAATTCTCAAACAGCATCAACAAACTAAAAGGTGAATGAAAAGCTACAGAGACTTTGTTCCCCCAAGCAAGCATCCTGTTTCTTTTCAACATGTC